TTTTAAGTCAGCAAATTTGCTCTTACTTGGCCAAATAAAGGAATAAAAGTTGATACCTTTGATTTCCTTAAACTAGAGGGTATTTGAAAGATAACAGTTTCTGGAATTTTCATTTTTTGCGTTTCCTCAAATTTGCCGCCATGTTGAATTTTCCGAAATTTTATTTTGAAACAATGCCATCCAGACTTGTGACAACGTCAGTTGTTTTTCCTCTTCCTAAAAAGCACTTTTCAAACTTTTCATTCCCGGTTTGTTTTTGTTTTTCCGATAATTTGGAGCTCATCGGCGATTTTTTGAAAAGTGGTCAATTTAAAACTTTGACCGGCTGTAACTTTTGAACGAAATAACCGATTTTAATTTTATTTGCGCCATTTTTCTTGTCTTTTTAAGTTCTTTTTAATCATGTCTAAAAAAATGGGGGTTGCCATTTGAATTTTTGAAGTTGCCCCCCCTGGGGCCCCCCCAGGGGGGTCCACCAGGAAAAGCCCCCCATCGAAAAATTTCCCCTTTTGGATGATGAAGAATGCCACAAACCGCGACCTTCTATCTTTTTTTGTTCAAAAGTTATACCCACTTTTCAGTTACTTTATGGACACCCGGTATATACACATACATATACACATCTATACTATAAGCTCCGAGACCTCCTAATTTTGCGTAACTGGTAACGCTTAGTTCCAGCGTTCTACCGGGCCGATTTTCATGATTTTTGCGACCATCGACGGACAATTGTCTCTAGATTAGCCCATTTTATTCAGTTTTTCAAAATATGACCCAGGTTTTTTTATATTACGTGGTAAAGTTGCGAATTCTCCCATTTAAACAATGTAAATTTATGTGTTTTGTCATAGTTCGTTTGATCATTCTACTGGGCCGATTTCCATGATTTTTGCGTAAATCGACAGGTAAATAGGCCCTAGATGAGCCCGCTTTAATCAGATTTTGGAAGAAGGACCCAGGTTTTTTTAAAATCACGTTATAAAAGTGACTGAATTTATAGAATGCTCCGGGACTGCTACCGCTATGCGCGGGAGGATGCGCAGTGGTCGAGGAGGTTGCGCAGTAGGTGTGTATCCTGCGCATCAGCTCTACTTATCAACACAAGATTCCCGCCTACTATCTAAAGACGAGCGGTGGCTGAGTCGTCTACGATGTCGGAAGCGTCCACATCGATCAAGGTGTGGGCTCGATCCCGGACTCCAGAGATACTTAACCATTACCTGATTAAAATTGTTCCGTTGTTTTACTGCATGCAATATTTCATCAAGCAGTCATTCCAAAACGCGTCCTTTTGACTTCAAAAAATAATTTTTTTCTTTATTCATCAAAACCAAAAATTATTTCATTCTATTAAGTATACCTCATATCGAAATTTTTTAGGGGAAAAATAAAACTAATACTAATAGAAGGGTAAAAATAGGGCCGCGAAGCGCCTTCGGGGGGTTGGGCCGCGTAGCGGCCAGGGGGTGTAGCCCCCTAGTACATACATACATACATATACAGGGTGGCCCAGACCTACCGTACTCGGCCTTTTTTTCGGTTAATTTGGGTCGCACGAAGTCCAGGATCGCGGGGATGAATAGGGAATCGACCCCAAGGAATCCGAATTTCATCGTCCCAAAGCCCCCCCGGCGCCCCTTGGGGGGTAATAGGGGGGTCCGTACTTCAAAAGTCAGGGTTTATGTCAAAATTTTGAAATTATTTCATCGGAATCAGAACGTACGAAAATTTTTAACTTGAATCGACACCAAGAAATCCATAATTGGCCCATCTGGGTCGAAAATACCGACCCCTAAAGGTGGGGGACAGAGCCCCCTTTCAAAAAAATTCAAATTCGATAAATTGACGTGGAGACTCGGAAAAAATGTGTATTCATAGGTAATCGACCACAAGGAATCCAAATTTGAGGGTCCCATTGTCCTCAGACACTTTTCTGATGGGGCACAGGGGGTCTTTGAACTTTTAAATCTAACCAGTATAGAGGTTACCCCTGTGCCCCATCAGAAAAGTGTATGAGGACAATGGGACCCTCAAATTTGGATTCCTTGTGGTCGATTACCCATGAATATTATACACATTTTTTCCGAGTCTCCACGTCAATTTAACGAACTTGAATTTTTTTGAAAGGGGGCTCTGTCCCCCACCTTTAGGGGTGGGTATTTTGGACCCAGATGGGCCAATTATGGATTTCTTGGTGTCGATTCAAGTTAAAAATTTTCGTACGTTCTGATTCCGATGAAATAATTTCAAAATTTTGACATAAACCCTGACTTTTGAAGTACGGACCCCCCTATTACCTCCCAAGGGGCGCCGGGGGGGCTCTGGGACGATGAAATTCGGATTCCTTGGGGTCGATTCCCTAGTCATCCCCGCGATCCTGGACTTCGTGCGACCCAAATTAACCGAAAAAAAGGCCTGGTACGGTAGGTCTGGGCCACCCTGTACATATACACATGAATTTGAATGACATATATTTTCGTGATCTACGAACCGTGATCGGTGCTCTTCACAAGGTCTCGGGTCTGGGTCCGACATCATGGGAGAATGCAATAGTGTATTTTCTTCGGAAAATACACTAATTAAAACCAAGGCGAAAAGAACTACTACACTAAAACGCGTGTGATCAGCCCAGACGGAAATTAGGATTGATAAAGCCGATATCAGACGATCAAAGTGGAGCTCTGAAAGTGGCGTCACGTAGGGTCACGTGACTCCACGTGCCCATTGATGGCGCGGAACGCCTTCAGCGGGTTGGGCCACGTAGCGGCCAGGGGGCTTAGCAGCCCCCTAGTTTCATATAGGCAGCCCTCGCTCAAATCCTCGAAGTTACGAACAGCGCTGGAGAGTACCGGCGCGGAGCGGTCGGTTTTTGAGTGAGAGTTTTGACCCATCAATTTTCCCACGATTATGTCGCGAGACGTCGCAGGTGAATCGACCCGTCGCCACACCAGTTTCTCTTGTGGGATATCCGTAAGTGCGAGAGAGACAGCTCACGGTGGGAGAGAGATCTGCAACTGCTGAGAGCGATCAATCGCGATTGGTTGCATCAAGGTCATCATGCTTAACCCTACTTTTTTCTGGGATCAAGTTTCAGATCTTCAGAAATCACTATTCACGTCGTTTTTAGTGTCAATAGGAAGAAGAATGTTATGGCTAGAACTTATGACTCTTCGATTTAAACAGAAATTCCTTTAACTTTCCTAAAAGCTCAAGGACTCACGTGGAGCTGTACGGACTCTACAGCCCGTATTAGACGATCAAAGTAGAGGCTTCAAAGAGACTCATCGATTGCCCCGACTTGAACCGCTGGCCAATGGGAGGGCCAGGAAAGGCATCGATGAACCTTTTTGAAGCCTCTACTTTGATCGTCTGATACGGGCTTAATAAAGCGTGGACCAAAAAATTAAAACACAGCGGTGGCATTCCCTGCGCGGAAAAATCTCTTAATACGCACTGCTGTAGATTCACCTTAGGTGCTTTTCACATCTGGGCCATTAACACCTTAGAGAAGAGATCAACATAGTGTAGGACAGTGTTCAAAAAATTTAAAAAGTAGGGATCACAAAAGTATGTATATACATTGTACGTAAGTATGTATTTCCGCCTTTTTAAGATTTTACGATTTTTGAGTAGTTATATCTCTCTTACGTTGCAAGATATTTTGACCAATTTTTTAGCATTTGTAGAGCCTCATTAGAGCTACTATTTTGCGAAACAAAATTTAAAGTTGAGGCAGTAGATTTTGAGGGGTGGGGATCGAAAGTGGGGGGAGGTCAAATCTTGTCCACTCGATAACTCGAGTTAAAATGAATATCTTGAGCTGAAATATTTAAGAGTGGTAGTTTTCCCCTAGGACTGGTTTGGTTATTGGTATTGATTTAGCCAAATTGGCTGAGCCGTTGAAAAGTGGAGAGCTTTGAAAAATTTAGGCGGGGGTGCGCGGCATGAAGGGAGGTGGCCGGAGCGGGGCCGCACAGTGGGTCCAGGGAAGGTTTTTGGACAAACTGTTCGTCGCATAGTGGGCCAGGGGAGGAAGATTTTAGATAAAATATTCGTCGCATAGTGGGTCAGGGGGAGGAAATTTTGTAAAAGTTTTTCCTCGCTCAGTGGGTCAGGGAGAAAAAGTTTTTGGATAAACTGTTCGTCGCGCAGTGGGTCGAAGGAGGTAAATTTTGGACAAGCTTTTCGTCGCATAATGGGTCAGGGTAAGAGATCTGTCTTTGAACTAATTCTCTTTTATTTAACCGTCACTATTTTCAAAATTCGAAAAAAGAGGCTGGAAAAATCGAAAATATTGGTAAAACCCAGGACTTCTATTCCCACCCGTGGAAATACACTTTCCTTCACGCGGTGGATGCGCGAGTCACTTAAATGAAGGGGAAAACGACTTAAAAGACGCGTCTGGGAGGGGAGGGGCGTTTTTATGGCATTAAACTCGGATGCGGAACAAAAGCCATCATTTTGCTAACCCTCTACAAGGCTCCGTTTTCACACAAGCTGCGGTTGCAGTTTCAATATTTCCTTGAATTGATGAAGGTAGCAAGGCCATTTAACAAGGGAAAACTCAGCCGGTGAAAAGTAGGGGAAAGAGTTTGAGAGAGAGAGACAATTTGAAATGGGCGGTGCAACAAAAAGGCATACGGAATCCGAGATAAGACTGCTCCTGATCATAATGTACAGAAATACGGAGATTTATACCAAGTGTTGAAAAATAAAAGGATCTTTCTGTCCTTTTATCGCCTCGTCGACCTCACTTATTTAAGTAACTATCGAGACTACAACCGCGGATTGTGCAGAAACGGTGCCACGTAGGAAGTTGGCACAATGATGACTTAATCAACATCTATAGATGAGGTCAATGCATTAAAAACATTCAAAATTTAATGTGGTTCGAATTCCCATGAGTAGTGTGGGGTGGGGGGTTCCCTCCCCTCTGGAGGAATCATTGTCTTTATTGTCTCATCGTCTCTATATCTAGATGTGAATTTGTTTATTTTCAGCAACTGAGCGTCTCTCCGAAAATATGCATATCGTAGCAAATGAACCATCCCTTGCATTTTTCCGAGTGCAAGAACATGTCAGAAAAGCTCTACCGCCAATGGTGGAGAAACGAATGGAAGTTAGTCAGCTTCATCAGCATCTTCAAGGGCACATTTATGACATTGAGTACGCTATTGGGTAAGTCTAGTTATGTTTAGGCATCTGGAGCGCTGGATTTAGGGTAGGGCGAACACTGTGTGGCAGCACAGGTAGCATTAGGAGTAGAGATGGCACTCTGATTATTTTCTCACTTTTTCATAGGAATGCCATTTCTTTCTTTTTGTTCACGTAGGACTAGGATGCGCCTTTACTCCTCAGGGATGGGACGGAGANGGGGGGGGGGGGGGGGGTTGTCGTTTTTTCTAAAGTAACAGATAATAGCAACAGACGAGAGCCACTGATAACAGCTTCTTATGACGTCATCCAGGTACGCATCGATCAAGAGATCCTGCATGTTTATCCAAATCTGGAATTAAAGATTTTTACAACATTGTTGAAGATGTCACGACATCGCATAATAAAATTGTGTACAAGACACTTTTCTTGTTAACAATGTCAGTCTTCCTCCATTTTTATTATGAGATGTGGCATCTGATAGCCAGCATACGAACTGCCTATGTAAATACCTCTCATGTGCAAGAATAATTTTACGAATGTATTCCTTATGTGCTGGCCTTTTCTCACTACCTCCCTACCGAAGACAGTGGTGTGCGGTGGGTTTAGTGACAGGGCAAGCTCTAGCGTTCGCCATTCGCGGAACGTCTTGAAAGCCTGTGGTTTTTTTTCCTTCTCTGTTACTTATGATTTTGTTTACTCAACTTGTTTCGAATGTTATTGAGCATTGGAGGACGGCTTCATGCTCTTAACTCATAATTTTGCCAGTTATTTGAGGTATTATAATCAAAATTTTACGGCATTTAGACTTTTTTGAGTTACTTAAATTTCCCCCGAAAAAAACAGCTTTCTACGTTTGAAGCATGATTGAGAAATTGCCTAATTCATCACCAATTAGATCCAAGTTAGCGCTATTTAATAGAATTTAAGGGCATTTGCTCCGGAGAAGCAATTACAACCGCGACGGAAAGAAGGAACAAGATATAGCGCATCGGAGGCAGAAGCAGCGCGCTGCGGTGACGGGCCAAGAGAAGCGAGCTGCGGTCGCGCAGCGAAGGGCTCGGACTCGGAACGTACCGCTCTCCCCGCCCGCCTTGATTCCGCCGCCGAACAGTGGCTCTCCGCTCAGCTGATCGCAAGCGATTCTCCAGCGCATGAGTTGGCCCGTGTTCAGGCCGCGCAGCGCGCTGCGCCACCTCCATCCACTCTGCCGCTTTCCTACTTTAGTGGCTCTATACGTATTTCTGTCTCTCTCTCTCTCTCTTCCGGTTTTAATGCAATTTACTTACTGAATACCTTTTATAAATTATATTTGCTAAAATGTAAAACATGCAATAGGTGTAATTTTCTTATTTCTTTTGAAATCTTTGGGCAAGCAGTGTTGCCTTGCTTATCCGAACCGCACGCCACTGACCGAAGATAAAAATGATGTAAGTGATCCCAAGTGATAATGCTTATCAACGTATAATTTTTGACAAGAAAGACGTAAGTGACTTCCAGTTTTTTTTTTTTTTTTTTTTTTTTTTTTTTTTTTTTTTAATAGCTCAAGCGGCGTCTTTGTTTTGAAACATTTTTAGTCATCTTGTGTCGCGGTATTCTTACTCGTTTTTGTCCATTTAAGGAAGTGTCTAAAGAAGATTTCATTTTGCTATGGTCGCCTTTTTTTGTTGAGCCAACCGCTTTGCGCGGTAATTTATACGTCATTCTAACTAAAAGGATAAGCTGAATCCAAATCCGCACTTAGTTTTCCAATTTTTAGTGTACACTATTGCGTTTGCCCTCAAGGTGAGACTTAGACCTGGGGCCATGGGAAGAGCACTGGTCTCAAGTCACAGATCACGAATAAATAGATCATTTCGATCATTTACGATCATTTTCTTTCTTTTATAGATACATTCTAGCCGTTTTGGGCGCGCTTCGCGCACCCGTTGCGACTAGCCAACCCCTCAGACCCTCAGTAACTCGCTGCGCGAGTGACATTCGGTTCGCTCCGCGAACCCTTTTTCTAAGTAGTTGTTTATTTGATCACTATACATTTTGGAGACTCCCAAAACAAAAATAATTTTGTCACAGACACTTACAGGCACGGCCCATCATTTGAACATTAAGTACGTAAGTAAAGTAAGTAAGTAAGTAAGTAAGTAAGGAGGCCGGGCCAAAACTGCCGCACGGTGGATCGAGTCAATGGTATAGGTCGGTCATGGGCGATTCGGGCAAATCGCATTTTTTAAGGGGCAAAAGTTTTCCTGAAGAGTTATATTTTTAGGATCTGACACTGATTTGGAACAAAACATGTTCATTTTTGTAACAGAAGCCATCAAAGAGGGGCTTTGCGTAACTTTCAATTTAGCGAAAAATCGTCCGATTCTTTCTATTCCATTTAACTTCCCTCTGTTTAAATTAATGCTAATTTCGTTGATTGATTCTTACTCTTATTCTTCAGAGTCTGGAGAACATATTGCGCTAATCATTTTTTGTATTTAGCCCATTTTTTCAATGATTATGTTTGCGCTATTGTGCTCATATCAAAAAGCAAAAAAAAAAAAAAAAAAAAAAAAAAAAAAAAAAAAAAAAAAGTTTAGGTACACTTGTACCCGCCGCCACCCATCCGCCAGAAAACTTTGTTTAAGCATGTTCGTAGGAGTCCAGAGAATAGCATTCCGCAATATTTGGGTGCCATTTTGGCCGTGACGTCACTTTTTCTCTTGTATTTCGAGATTGCGCGCGAGCTTCATCTCGAAAATTAAGCGACCAGTGAACTCTCGTAACTGCTAAATGACCTAGGTAGGTATGATCCCTGTTCATCCGAAATTGAAAAACAATTTTTACCATCAAAACGTGCTTTTTGGCCCGTTTTGCGTATTTTTATTATTTCCTAAACTACATATCTATAGGAGAACAAAAAAAAAAAAAAAAAAATCGGGCATGTTTTCACTTGAACAACCTTCTATATCCTTTTGAAAGCTTTTTTAGGACATATGCGTAGATGGCTTGAGGAAACTTTAAGCAGGTAAACCCCCCCCCCTTTCCCGGCTACTGACTGGCTTTGCCATTTTATCTGTTTCCCTTCGCGATCGCGCGCGACTGGTCACCGGCGAACTCTGATGACTGATGCTTCTCTCAAAAACGTAAGTATTTTTCAATTTTTCACCCATTTCAATGCAAACAAAGTGCAGTCAGTGCGAAACTAATTACACTGCAAGTACGCTTTAATGTTAAAGTTCCGGGAAACTTTGGAATTTTTGCAGTTTTTCGCGTTGTTTTTCAAGTTTGATGCGGTTTGAGAGTAGAAGATGAGGATGAGAGTCATGAGGAACTAAATCTGAAGAAAAAGAATAAGAAAAAGCAGATGACTGACAATTAACTTTTTTTTTTTTTTTACCGGCTATCTAGTGTTTATACTACTCCAAGTCCCTCCTCCTTCCTCTAAATGTAAATACAGGGTGTCCCAAAAGTCCCTTCCACCCCCTCTAAAATTTTACCTAATTAATATTTTGAAACGAAACTTAGGGGATGTTCATCGATCAATGTTAGCTACTTTTGGGACCCCCCCCCCAAA